TAGTGGTAGTGGTAGTGGTAGTGGTAATATATAACACGGTTTCCGAGTTACGTTTGGGATTAATGCAATTTCGTGCAATTTCAACTCTTTGAAAAACACACGAGTGCAAATTATCCCAAATAGAACAAGAAATCGTGTTATTACTCATAAAAAATATAACATGCATAAAAAATTTACAAAAGAAAGAGACGAAAATATCGAATCGGAGTAAAGGCTACTTATTAGTATTCACGAAAATGTCAGTTTTTCCGCTGATCAAAATATCACGTCAAACTAAACCGCTTTTCTGCCGTATCATCGAATGAGACATCTGTCTTTTATTTAAAAGTTTGGCATAGCCGAAAAGTTACTGACCCTTTTTCCTTGGTCTTTTTAGCACAGACCTCTATCACGCTTTTCTTCAAGTCGTTCCAGTCAATGTCAGGCCTGAGGTTTATCACTAACTCAGGCAGAGGTCGATTCTCGCCACCTCTGTCTTGATAGCAACCAAGGCTTTCATACGCAACTGGAAATATAATAAAAGGTGAGTATTTTGAAAGTGTATTGCTAGCCAAGTACAATAAACCTTTTTATTATGAATTTTCTTTTCAAATTCCAAGCCCCGGCAGGCGTCACGAGTTTGAGGTTTCCACTCTTCATTAGAAAGAACGCACATTTAACGAATATACTTCATAGGTGTTGTAAGAGGGAAAGGAATTGACCTAGCAATAGTTCTTGTTATGTTTGCCAATACCACTAGTACCAATGAAAACCAATGAAAAATTGTAATTGAATATTTGTTAAAAGCGATGTAAATTATGTTAGGATAAATTGTATTTTCCATTTCTTTTACGTTCCTACCTTTGTCTGGCGAGCTGGGTTCTGTTAAATTAAAAGTAACAGAGAAAGTTAGAGCGGTTTTTAGCGACCAAATCCCTAAGACTGACATACTGGGAAAACATTACCCCGATTACCCAGCCCTCCACCCCCACCTCCGACCCCCTCTAGTCTACCCTCAGTACAAAAAAACTAACTTTGCTTGCATTAAAAAAAAATGACGACTTTTAAAACTCCAGTGGGGACTTCTGAGGTCGTTAAACAAAATCAGAAATTAGAATAACAAAACAAGCAACTCTTGGATTGGAGCCTAAGCCCGCATACATTTACTAAGTAATAACTTAATATGAATAAAAGGGGTTAGGAAGAGATGCTCATCTCCTGAACATTAGGAATTACGAATAACAAAAGCACCTGTTTCACAGTGTTGTCCAGTAAATTGCCCAACACAACTGCACTTGTARCTTCCTGGGGTGTTCGTGCAAATACCTCCATTTTGWCAGGGATTCGCCTGGCATTCATTCACATCTATAATAAACGTTGTTTTGGGTTTAACGAAATTGAAGAAAT